CTGACCTGCTCTCTCTGTCTCTCAGGTCGCTGTGAGTGTAAAGGAGCTCTAACAGGAAGTAACGCAGGGATCACCAGTATTGAGTTTGACAGCACGGTGAGTTAACAATAACCTGTTTTGTATGACTTAGTTTGTATTGTGTTGGTTAATTATGCTTGTGCGTTGTTCGTCCCATTCCCATGAACCAGATCTCACAAACACTGTGAGGGAATCTCTTCAAATTTTGTACAAACATTCAGTTGGATGGCCTGAATAGAATTCGGTGGTCAAAGGTCAAGATCATGGTTTCGTCACAAAGTATCTTTGTTTTTCTTGAACATGATGTAATTGTTGAACCGAAAATGAAAATTCACTCATCTACTCAGCCTTATGTGGGTGAAGTTGAGTTTCAGAGGTAAACAGTGTTGCAGCCAAATACAATTGAAGTAACTGGAGATCGATTCTTCAAACGTGAGGACACCAGCGATACCCACAATAGAGGCGCGAGATTGTGGCTTGGAGGATATCGGAGGACAAAACACCTAGAACTTGGTGTCAATGACCTCGTTTTGGGTAGAATCTAACTGTCAGGGCTTACGGACACTTAACATGACTTACAGCAGCAGTACAGAGGCATTTATGAGAGTACATGTAAACAACACACTCATGTGATGGAAGCACAAGTGAAGAGTTAGATCTACTGTTGTTAATGATCTACAGATGGATCTACAAATGATGAAGCACCAGGTCTCTGGTGAAGAAGTCACGTCAGTAACATGTGTTGATGAGGCATTAATGTGATGAAGAGGAAAGAGAAGCTCTGTGTATCCTAGACATTCTAGACCTCCAGCAGCAGAACTAAGAGCAGGTCCAAGACAAACCTGGACCAACTCTAACTAAGGCTCAACCAGTAGATCTCGACAGTCTCACTGTCGATCTCCGTATCTCTCTGTACTCACAGGCTGCGGTTGCACCGCAGATCAGCTGGTTGTTGTTCACACCCGCTCTGTCCGCTACTGGCAGTGGACACGCTGGTTTATCTCCTGCATTTCCTTCAATACACGACGGATTATGTACCAAACTAAATGTCAGGACTCCACGGTATGAAGACGCACATCTTCCACTCTGTCGATAACAGTCAAAGCCCCGTAAGAACAAATGAATGGAACACTGAAGTGCTTAAAAACAGGTTTGGGGAGTTTTGGAAATAAGTTTGTGACGTATACAGATAAAACATTATCGTCCACAGCAGAATAAACAGAAAATGATCTTTCATCTGAGTTTTAATGTGTGCAACACTTTCTGTTTCAAAATAAAAGCACTCAAGTGTTTCTGTTGACTGAATGCATTCATTTGTTTAAAACTGTTGGCAGGAGCGGAAGATGCACGGCTTCATACTGTATAGCAATTTTTTTTATTGGAGTACATAGGACTACTTTCAGACAAGGAAATATTCATATTAATGGACATTTTCAAAGTCTATATGTAAAAAATATTGTGCTGTAGTAGCAGAACATATTGTTCAACTGAAGCTAAATATTAAAAAGATGCTGTAAATATGAATATTGTGCATTGAACAGATAAAGTTGCATAACTACCTTTCTTTGTGTATATTTAACAGAAATTACAAAAATAATAAATATGATCTTCCTAAGTGGGTTTCTTTAAAGATATTGGGGGGGTGCATCTCGGTGTGTGGAGGGTCTCCAGAGTTCAGTGCATGTCTGAAAGCAGCTTATGAATCAGGAGAGAAGTGTTTGTAGACGAAGGTGCAGACGATCACAGATTCTAACTCTAACGTGTGGTTTGTCTTCAGGGTTCATACCTGTTGGCTGCTTCTAACGACTTCGCCAGTCGCATCTGGACGGTCGACGACTACAGACTGAGGGTAAGTGACATCATTACAACCGCTGAAGACAGACAAGATGTTGACTTGATTTGCCATCTTGTGCTGATGATTTCATTTGGAGTTAGTTGTTTCTGCTGGTCTGTGATGTCATGTAAAAGGTCTGATTTTCAGCTCCTCCCCCCTCAGCCGCCTTAGCTCCCAGCAGCCCCTGCTCTCTGCTCCCATCATGCACTAGTTTTGCTATGGTGGTCCCAGGAGCTGCTGACAGAAAGGAAGTGACATTGCAGTGAGTCTATACAGAGATTTTATAGGCTCATAGTGGTGGCTGACATCCAACAGAACCAATCATCATGGAGCATAAGGCTAAGGGGCGTGGCCTGAGACATGATCTCATTGTACTTCTGAGGCCACAGAAATGATGAGTTTGTGTCATAAACATCAGACATGTCCACACACCTGAACACACCACAGACTAAATGAATCCATCATGTCCGTGTGTCACAGCACACCTTGACAGGCCACAGTGGGAAGGTGCTGTCTGCTCGTTTCCTGTTGGACAACGCTCGAATCGTGTCTGGGAGCTACGACCGAACGCTCAAACTTTGGGACCTCCGCAGCAAAGTCTGTATGTGATTGGTCCATTTGTTTGAGTGATGTTTTTTCTAATAGCAGTCAGACACCAACTCAGTAACTGACCGTTTCACCTGTGCAGGTATGAAGACTGTGTTCGCTGGGTCCAGCTGTAACGACATTGTGTGTACAGAGCAGTGTGTCATGAGTGGGCACTTCGATAAGAAAGTTCGATTCTGGGACATCAGGTGAGCTTGATGGCTGAAAGTTCCACAACTCACCTGAACTACAAACTAACCTTTGACCTGTGCTGTCACTCGTCTCTCACTTTCAGGGCGGAGAGCATCGTACACGAACTCGAGCTTTTGGGTCGAGTAACGTCTCTGGACCTGAACATCGACCGAACTGAGCTGCTCACCTGCTCCAGAGATGACCTCATCAAGATTATCGACCTGCGCACCAACGCTGTCCGACAGACGTTCAGGTGTGTGTGGTACAGGTGTGTGTTTGTCAAGTGTGGTACAGGTGTGTACTAATTTTGTGTTTGTGTGTTCAGTGCACAGGGCTTCAAGTGTGGAGCGGACTGGACCAGAGTCACCTTCAGGTGCGTTCAACACTTAAACACTACAGTAACCCGGGTACTTTTATTTTATATTTTATATATTTAATCATTTATATTTATTCATTCAGTCCAACCTGACTCCAACAGACTCAGTTGTTTTGTTTTGTTTATAACCACATTGTCAACATGCTACAATTGATTCTTTAATGAGTAAAATCTTTCTACAAAACTGTACATTCATAGTTTCCGTCAGCCCCCCCAACTCTGCGCTCGCTCGTTGTCTCACTCTCTTGCTCACTGACAAGATGCACAACATCGGAACTGTGTAAACTCAGACTGGGTAGAAACATTTTGGTCTTCACCAACACAAATGTAGTGTTTTGCACTCAGACTGGTGAAATGCGACCCGATCATGGTCACAATAGTCCCACCCCCAACCTCTGACGTAGTTGGTTTTTACTTCTAGAACCAGTTTTCTGTCCGAGAGCCAGTTCTTTGACTGTGGAAACACAAAGAACTGGTTCCAGATCAGGAACTGGCTCCAAACTGGCCCTGGAACTGTCTTGGTGGAAAAGGGCCAATGATGATGCTGCAGTGTCTGTTTTCAGTCCTGATGGCAGCTACGTAGCAGGAGGGTCAGCTGACGGCGCTCTGTACGTGTGGAACGTCTTGACGGGGAAAGTGGACCGAACTCTGGACCGGAACCACAAGTAAGAGACAAACTGATCAAAGTGATCGGTCAATGAGACTAAAGCTTGCTGATCAGCTGACCTCAGGTAACCTCGTGTCGCTCTCTCCGTAGCTCTGCTATCAATGCTGTGTCGTGGTCACCGTCAGGAGCCTACGTGGTCAGTGTGGAGAAGGGCAGCAAGGCCATCCTGTGGTCTGACATGTGATTGGCTGATGGAGACAGAGACTCTTACCAATGAGAGGACAGTTGATGAAACGTTTCATGTTGCTGATACAGACTGAGGATCAGCTGATGCCTTCGTGTTCAATCACATGTTCATAATGACATGTTTACTTGCGTGTTGATCTGAATGTTGATGTAATGCTGACACACACGCACATTCTCGTACCTGTGTCTTAGTGAGGACCCTCAAACAGACCTTTGGAAAAGTGACTGCAATGTCCTCACTTCATAAGGTCCTCACAAAGATGGAAGTACAAGTACTCACACACTTTGTCCCCTAATGTTAAAGAGGATTTAATAAAGTCTTCATGATCAGCTGGTGTGTGTCTGTTTGTGTGTGTGGGGTGTCTGTCTGTGGTGACGTGTGTGTCTGTCTGTCTGTGTCTGTGTGTCTATCTGTCTGTGTCTGTGTGTGTTTAGAGACCCACAAGAACCAACCTGACCCGTAGGAGCAAAGTACTCACAGTACCACAGACTGTCTGCATGTACTTCACTTACTGATGTACTGGGGGTGTTGGTGGAGGAGAACCACACATACTTTAATACTTTGATCCTTTAAGTAGCTTTAGTCTGTGAAATGATTTTATTAAATACTGAACATTATCAAGGCCACATCCTGGGATTCTAACGTTTCTCATCAAGAGGCTTCTTTACTTCACTTCCTCTCGTCTTGTTAGTAAACAACAGATTCAGATCTTGTGGCCCCAGTTATTTATATCATTCACACACATCGTTATATTTTTACCTAATGCCACCAGGGGGTGCTGTAACTTTCACATTGATACAGTTACAGATGTTTTGCCAGCTGTTCTTCTTGCTTTTAGCAGCTTTATATGTTAATTTTATTCTGGAAGTTTGTTCTCTGGTTTTTATTACCTTACTGTGATTGTTAGGTTAAGATCTGCTGGATAAAGATTTCTTGGATATGTTGAACTCACTTCAGTCAACATATTTAAAATTGTTTTTCATCTTATTGGCAAACAAAAGAACGCAGACGTCCATCAGAGGTAGAACTTTTAAATAAAGGACCCCCCCCCCCCCATGAGCTCAGTAATCTGCTGATGTCAGCAAACAAACTGCTGAGTCAACTCATCGGCTCAGGGACACTTATGTTGATCACATGTGATGTAACAGTCATGTGAAACTGATATGACCCAACATCAGAACACGTGTGTTCATTTCCCAGACTCACAGCCAGGAGGTCAAAGGTCACTTAGAAAGACGAGGAGGTTCCAGAGCTTTAGGTGATGAGGGCCGATGCCGGGGTGGATGTAAACCAAAACAGCAGAATGCATACGTCATGTCAGTGATGACGTTTCAGTCGGTACCAAACTTCAAACCTGATTAAATTTGTTCAGACTGAGATTTGCAGGATTATATTGTGTGTGTGTCTGTGCGTGTGAGTGTGTGTCAGTAATAAGCAGCATGCTGACCAGGCTGAGTGTGTCCTCCTTATAAAAGCAGCTCAGTGTGATCAGAGGGAACTCATCTCAACTCTTCTCTTCTTCAGGTCAGTGTTTGTGTTTACTTTAAGGACTCTTCACCTGTTTTTCACACAGCGCCTCCTTCAGGGCACAGTCAGAAAAACATTTCATTAATGTTTTTAAAATGTAGTGAAAGAGTCGTTAAAACAGAGTTAATGTGAATATGAGGTCACAGCAGCGATCGTGTCTTCAGGTGTCGACACGTTGAGTCACGATGAGTCTGAAACACGTTGTCTTCAAGAAAGTGTCCCGCGACAAGTCGGTGAGTTAAAATTCTCATTTTAATTTTTTGGATAAAATTTTAGTGAAATTTAAAGATATTTTCTGATTGTGTTGTTTATGAACTGTTCTCTAACGATTGATGTGAAACAGAGTAGAACCTTTGAGCCAGGCAGCTCTGACCCGTCCTCTGCTCTCAGGTTGCTGTCTACATGACCAAGAGAGACTTTGTGGATCACTGCGACTTTGTGGATCCAGTCGGTGAGTTTCAACACAAACAAGCTAACATTTCTGTTTTCATTCAGTTAGGCTCCATATCTTTATTTTGTATGCTAGCTATGCTAACATGTTCTTGACCAGAGCTTCAGCTTCTTCACTCTTCTTTCACTAAAATAAATTAAACATAATTAAATTAATTTAAAATGTTTGTCACAAAAATGTTTTTCTTCTGAGTCGTCGTAAAACGTTTCGGAGAAGAAACAGATCCATGGTCTCGTCCGACATGATTTGATGTTCCTTTAAAAGCTAAGTTAGCCTAGTACCAGATGTTGACAGATGTTTCCTCTGGTCCTCTCAGATGGAGTCATCTTCATCGACCCGCAGCTGCTGCAGGGAAAGAAAGGTCTGTGACCGACCTTTGACCTTTGACATACATGGACAATTAATAATGATCAGTAATAAACAGACATCAGTTTAACACAGTCTGAGATTTAATGGATTCAGCCTCTAGTGGCCAGTAGTGGTACTTCATCTTCTTCACTTGTTAATGCGTGGTGTTGGTGCGTTTGCAGTGTACGTGATGTTGTCGTGCACATTTCAATACGGTCGTCAGGACATGGATGTGTTGGGCGTTGCCTTCAGGAGGGACCTGTTCCTGGTGACTCGTCAGGTTTATCCTGAGCTGCAGGACAAGGACAAGCTAACTCACACTAAGAGCCAACAGAAGCTGCTGCGAAAGCTCGGAGACAACGCATTCCCCTTCTTCTTTGAGGTGAGAGGCCATTCAGTGCTGCCTGCTGGAGGAGTCTAGCTCAACTGACTCCTTTATCTTATTCCTGCTCCCCACAGCATCATCCCTTGTACATGAGACTCTCTGCGACTCATTTCTCATCAACGCTGTTTGTAGTCTGAAGTTTTCACGGAGCTTGTGTCAATCATCATGTGTGAAAATGATATTGTCGTAGACAAGTTTATTCGAAGTGAGTTTGTTTCAGTTTCCAGACAACCTACCGTGTTCTGTCGCTCTGCAGCCGGGACCTTCTGATGTGGGAAAGGTAACTTGTCTTTTCTAGAATTATAAGAACATGAGTTCTCAGAATAATATCTTCTCTACGACATGCTGCATTTGCTTCATGAAGCTCACATGTATTATTAAGGTTTTTATCTCATGGTGGAGGATCTGGGACATTGAGTAAAATAAAATGTCACCTCCCATTCCTCAGACTGTAGCTGGGTTCAATTCAGTTTTATTTATATAGCATCAAATTATAACATGAATTATCTCGAGGCTCTTTACATGTTAAATTTATAGAGAAACCAACAGTTGCCACAATGAGCAGCTCTGACGACTGAGTAAGAAAAAACTCTTTAACTAGATGAAAGAACCAGAGTCGATGTGGACCACATCTGCTTCGACTGTACAGTTCAGGCTCCGCCTTCTTCAAATGCAGCCGACCCGTGTTTCCTTTCATCCCGAGCTACGAAGGATCCAACAGGTGGACTTGTGACGAGGCTAACGAGCTAGCTAGCTGATGTTAGCGGCTCAGAGTAGCTAACGTTGAAATGTAAGAGTGGAACCTCTTTATATACAGTCTATGAGTGGAACAAGCTGCTGAGACCAGACCGTCGTATTCTCAAGATATATACTATATATACTACTAAACTCAGTTCGGCCTTCACTCTACTGATAGAACCAAGATGGTGGCCACTGATGTGGAGACAAAGACAGAATCAAACCAACTGGACGTTATTTTCCTGAACTAAAGACAGGATTTAGTAAAAGTTGAATTTACCAACTGTCCTGCAGGGGGTGCTAGATGTTGTAGGTGTGTGAACTTGTTTCCTATCAAATTCACCTGATAATAAATAAAATATGAGCCTCACCAGTCATCTTAAACTAATGATAGAGAATCAGAGGAGAACAGAGTTCTGTTTTTCTCTAACAAGATGTTTTCAGATATGAACTGACTCAGACATTTGTTCACACATACAGAACCTCCAGAACATGTCAGGAACACGTGAGGAACAAGTCAGGACTTCAGGTCAAACTGGTAAACTGAACCAAACTGTTTCAGTAGAAAGAAAAAAACCCTGGTTCTGTTGGTTTCTCTTCTTCCAGCTCTGATTTGAGAACTGCTCCAGAAAAAGTGCATCTGCTTTAATTTGAGTAAAACACAGACCAGCCTGAGATCCAGAATCTGGATTTGGCCCAGACTCTGACTTTTTCATCCTCTTGTGTATTTTTTGTGTCAGAAATGTGCGGTGGAGTTTGAGGTGAAAGCGTTCTGTGGTCAGAACCAGGACGAGAAGACCAATAAACAGTGAGTCCAGGACCAGGATCAGAGTCAGGACTCAATGGATCCTGTTCTGAATCCGTTTGTTCTTTGTGCAGGAGCTCAGTTCGTCTCAGTATCCGTAAGATCCAGTTCAGTCCAGAGAAGCAGGACCTGGTTCCTGTGGCAGAGAGCACCTTCGAGTTTCTGATGTCTGAGAGACCTCTGTCCGTCAAACTGAGCCTGTCCAAAGAGGTTAGACAGGAACCTGGCTGTCTCCACTGTCTATGCCTGTCTGTCTCAAACGTCTGTGCCTGTTTGTCTCACCTGTCCATCTCACCTGTCTCTCCTCAGACGTTTTATCACGGCGAACCCGTCATTGTGAACGTTGACATCACAAACTCGTCCAACAGGAACATCAAAGACATCAGTGTGTCAGGTGATGTGTGTCTGTTGTCACATGATCATGTGGTCACATGTGTTCAGATCATGCATGACCTTTCATAAACGTGTTGTTTGCGTGTTCAGTCGATCAGGTGACCAATGTCGTTCTTTACTCCAACGACAAATACATCAAATCCGTCGCCAAAGAGGAAACTGAGTGAGTCTGATCTTTTATTTGTCTTTCTATAGTTTTGAGACCAATTATGGTTCAATACCATCATTGTGAGGACATTTTGTCTGGTCCTCACAATTTCAAATGTTCGTTTGAGGGTTAGGTCTTCAAAAGAGCCGTCTCTATTTTCTGAGACGGCTCAGGTCCTTCAACATAGACAGGGCGATGCTGCGGATGTTTGATGAGTCTGTTGTGTCCAGTGCCATCATGTTTGCTGTTGTCTGCTGGGGCAGCAGCTTGAAGAAGAAGGACATTAATAGACTCAACAAGCTAATCAGGAAAGCCAGCCATGTTGTTGGGTGGGGGGGGCTAGACAGTGTCACAGTGGTGATGGAGAGGAGAACTTGTTTCCAAAGTAAGGACGATATTGGACTTTCCTTCACACCCTCTCCATAATGTCTTGATTAGCTTCTGCAGCTTGTTCAGTGACAGACTCATCCACCTCCAGCCTGTTGGTGTCAAACTGTATAATGACATCCTGTAAATAAGCTTAAACATGTATACTGTGTTTCTTAACTCACATTTCATGTTGGTCTGTACTGCAGATTTATTTCTACTTATTTTTGTCTTCTTGTTTAATTTGATTTATTTTGATTAGGCTGCTATGCCTGCTTTTTCATCGCTTGCTCAGGACTTTTGTGACGTTTGAATTTCCCTCCGGGGATTAATAAAGTGTTTCTGTGTGTGTGTGTCTCAGCGACTGTGTTCCTTGTGGGACATCTCTAAAGAAACACTACACACTGTTTCCTGTTCTGACTCACAACAAAGATCGAAGAGGAGTCGCTTTGGACGGACGACTGAAACATGAAGACACAAACCTGGCTTCATCCAGCATGTGAGACACACACATGAACCAAGCATTTCCTCAAACATCTTCAGTGATGATCACATTAATCATACAGCCTCCCCTCCCCCCATCAGTGTGAAACAGGAAGTGATGAAGGAGGTTCAGGGGATCCTGGTGTCGTATAAAGTGGTGCTGAGGATGATTGCCAGTGGGTGAGTCCATGAACTTTGACCTCAATGATCTACATCAAACATCGTATTTAAATGTTTTATCATGAAAGTGACTGAGAGTTTTTTCTTTGCTTCAACAACAGGACGCTGGCATCCAGGTACAAACACCCTGTGTGTGTGTGTGTGTGTGTGTGTGTGTGTGTGTGTGTGTGTGTGTGTGTGTGTGTGTGTGTGTGTGTGTGTGTGTG